ACCTTTGATCTGGTGTTGCTTGTCCTTGCCTTATTGAGTAGTGCTGTGGTTTGTGTTGTGAAGACTTGAGTGGATCTGCTTGGTTTGGAGTCCTTTGTGATCCGTTTCTCATAGAATGAGCTGCATGAATGAAGAGCAAATGAGGAGGTAACAGGGTTACATGCGATTTCTGCTTCGACTGTTACAAATTCAGCAAAGTCTTTGAAAGAGGGAAAATCCTTGCCATCCATAAGTGTGACTGTAACTTGACGATTCCAACGGGCTGCCAGCCAGTCTGGAACCTTTTGTAACAACTTTTGATTCTCCTCACAGTCACTTAGTATTTCTAGGCCTTTCACATGTGGCATGGCCTGGAGACATGCATTTAAAAAGTCTGAAAATGTCCTTAGTCCTTCTGCATCCTTTGAGTTTATTTTAGGCCATTTTGACAATTTGTCTCTAAAAGCTCTTTGAACAACAAAGGGCTGTCCGTAACGTTGGTCAAGCCTTTGCCACGCGTCATTGTATGCTTCTTCATCACTGCGATAAAATGTTCCTTCTAGACATGTTTGAGCTGCGCCTGTGACATACCTTTTGAGCAGATGAAGTTTATCGGCAGGTGAAATGCCCTTGCAGTCCACGAGTGAAAAGAATGAAGCCTTCCATTCTATGTAGTTGATCGGATCTCCGCTGAACACTGTGGGCATTGGCACCGGGATTCTGTTTATGGCTATACTGTTTTGAATAGCTTGGGCTAATTGAGAAATGTCTGCAGGAGGTGATGGAGCAATAACTTGAGGGTTGGGATTGTTCACAGCAAGATTTATGGAGCCAGATAAAACATTTTGTGGCATTATTGGCAGAGATAAACCACTAAGGGGCGCTGACGCTTCATGTACAGATTGATGGTCTGTAAGGAAAGGCATGTTCTGTTGTGATTGCTGTTGATCCACATCTACGTTCATTTCTCTGTTGTAGATTTCAAGTTTTGCACGAGCAGCTTGCATTTCCCTTTCTGCCTTTAGACGCTCGAGTTCTGATTTTTGTGCCTCCAGTTCCTTTCTGTGTTGTTCCTCAATGTCTCTTATTTTTTCCCTTTGTTTAAGTTCTTCTTGCACCATTTTATATTCTGCTTCCTTTGCCGCCAGCTCTGCAGCTGCATCAATCCTTCTGGTTGTGAAGCTTGATGTGTCTGACTTCTTACTGACGCTTGATTGAGAGGCAGATCCGTAGATGGACCGGGCGTAATGATGTGACAGAAGCTGATGAAGGCGTCGCTGTTCTGTGTCTGCATCAAAATCACCATTTATTCCTGTTATACGTTCGTTAAGTATTTTCATAATATCTTTAGTTACTGCTTYGCACGAGTCCATTTTGCGTCTTGTGTCAGGAGAAGGTGTAATATGCTCTCTTATTTCATTGTATACTTTCAACATGGCGCACAATCCCTTTTCAATATCATCAGCCATTGCACATAACTTATGTTCTGATAAATCAGTCTTTAGGCTTTCTCTGCTTGTTCTGATTAACAGTCTCCATTGCTCATAGAGACTCAGCAGTTTTTTGYCTTTTTTATTCAGTTCTTCCGATTGATAGGCGAGCATTTTCTCTGTTGGTACACTAGGCCGCTCTGAGCGCCTCGGCAAACGTGACTGGGCCGCAACCTCCATACTGTGAAGCTCCGCTAATWGCTTTTCTTTTCCTTCAATCTCGTCCTTTAATTCTTGTCTTGACATGCTCTCTGTATTTCCTTGATGTAACAAAGCTTTAGTTTCATTTATTTCCGTCTGTAGCTTACTTGTTTGCTCTCCTGCTATAACTGCTCCAACTTGCTGCCCGCCGTCGTCTTTAGCTTCGCGGGTAGCTCGATGTAGCACACTGAGGTTAAGCTCTTACTGTRRCAGGCCCCCATGAACAGAGATGAAGTTTTACTGATGGTTGATGAGTTTATTTAACCTTTTTGACCTTCCATACATCCATATATCCTTTGTCATCATAACAACCACCGTAAGAGCTGGAACACACATACAACATGTGACTAATTAGCTAGACTCATTTACATTAATATGCTACAGCAAAGTTATGCAAAAACAAAACCATTAACACATAAAATACATATAAACAAACCTTTTGCCTCTTCAGAGGGGCTGCCAGAATGCATGAAACCATTAGCGACGCATCGGGTCTCTTATTCTTCGATACTTTACTTAACAAGTTTTTACATTGAGCACTGCACAGAAAAGGAAGTCCATATTTCAAAATAAAAGCGTTCCTTGAGACAGGAAGTTTACATTCTTAATACAAAAATATTACAAAATAAAAGCATTGTTTTTATCTCAACAAGATTGGCTTGTGGTTATTTACACATACATACACACAAACACACATACATACATACATACATACATA